GGGAGAATGGGTTGTACCAAGAACTAGGACCCAGGACAGAGGTATCTGATGATGGTGGATACCAGGCACTGGGACCAAAGACAGAAAATGGTGAATATCAGGAACTCGGGCCACAGATAGATATGTATGCTGAATCTAATGACAACACCGGATACCTAGAAATTGGTCAAATGCGTCAAACCTCTCCTTATGAGAACTAATTCTGGAGATGTGAAATTGAAATTGATCATTTTACACGTATATGTACATGTATTGTGTACCATTTTTTATTGTACGGTAAATTTCAAAACTAGTGAAATATGTATCGAAGGGTGGAATTCTAATGAACATTACTCTGATTAATGTATTTATTTTCCTTTGTAACTGATCAGTGATTTGAATTAAAGTAAATTAATAAGTAAAATTAAATAACTTAATTAATTCATAATAAATTTAAAAAAAAAAATTATATTTACATAAATTTAAACTCATGGTATTCATAAATAAAACATTAAAAGAAGAATTTTTTTTTTTGGTTTGCACTGGTGCCTTTCGAAAATTATGAAGACCTTTTTTGCTCCATAACATATATAGATTTATTATATTTCTTGTTAATTTTTCAAGAAAGAAAGAACAAATTCTGTAAGGTTTGAATTATACGATATTCGGGCAAGTCCTTGTAAATTAATAAACACGCATCACCATCGACCTGAAAAGCATCGACTCATGACTTTGATGTCGATTCAGGCACAGATGTTTTTGCATGAGAAACGGTCGGATTTTTTTACTTCCTTCTCTGTAATCAAATTAATCATTCAAAAATATACATATGTGATATACAGGATGCCTTATCATCATGCAGTACAGATGTATGCCACGCGGACCAACCTTATATAGTCTTTGATAACTGATGGTCATCTGGATTTTCCGTCTTTACTCTGGTTTATTTATTGGTACATGACTGTACGAAAAATCAACAATTCAAATAATAAAGAAATACCATTTTTTGCGAACAATCATATCCCAATAACCAGGTAATGCGTAACAAAAATCATTAATTTTTCAAATGCATTTTTTCTCTACAAATTGTGAGTCTGGGGGAAATTAAAATGCAGTCCATAATATATATCTATTGAAATGTATATGTAACCCGTGGAGATATTGTATAACCTGTGTCATAAAGACTTAACATATGTACTCTTCTATATTCTTATTTTCAAACTACAGCTATCAATATGATTAAAGATTTATCGATTTGGTTTTCAGGTATACCTTTCTATTAATAAAATTAAATGGATGAAAAATAGAATCAGATTACTTTTGATATGTTTTGAGTTTAACTTCAAACGTCAAATGAAACTGAAAAAAAAATGTTGTTTGTTATCAATAGTCTGTGCCAGGCTTAGTAATACGATTATTATGGATATGATTGATTGATTGTATATTGTTTAAAGTCTCTTTCGGGAATTTTTCATTTATATGGAGACTCCACCACTTTCCGATGAAGAACTTTTCATCCCATTATAGGCACTTAGGGTCATGGAGCATTGATGGATCTTTTTCATGCCTGGCATCTACTGTGACATAGGATCTCTTTTAACATGGTCTCATCCAAAAGACCGGTATTCGCATCCCACAGAGCGACTTGAACCCGTGACGTAAGGATTGACTCCTTACTTCGCAACTCTAAAGCAGGCACTTTAATTACTGCGCCAATTGGATGACAGTATATTTATGCAAATCACCTTTTTATGGTTCTTAATTATAAGTATATAACAAATAATCATTACAAAGTATGGTCACTTTTCCTTAAAAATAAATTAAGATTTGAAAATGTTATGTAGTTACATTCTATAAATAATGTATGTCAATGGTGATTTATAGATGTTTCCTAAAAAGTATCAATTGTAAGTTAAGCTGTCATGTTTTATATAAAATAAGCATAAATTATATAACCATTATATTTAAGGAGATAACGAACAATATTTAAGTTCAAAAGCCCATCAAACAATAAAAAATATGCGCAGAACAAATACCGACCTCCGAAACGTCGGTGGTTGTAGCAGGTGCAAATGAGGAGTGGAATTTTCATCCCTATCGATCGCACCCGCCGACTGCTCCTTCACAAGATCGCTTAATAATGAAAAAAATTGTCAATTCATGGTTTATGAAATGGACCAGCAATTAGTATGAAAAATTATTCAGCATTTGATTCAATAATCAACTTGTATTTATTGACAAAGTTATTGTATCTACCATAGAATTTATGTAATCATTACCTTTAAGAAGACTGCTGGTATTCTTTTTACATCAACTTGTTTGTCAATATTTTACCTGGATTTAGAAATTTTCTCACCGAAAACATGCCCTTAAGTGTCCAATTAACAGAAATATGTCAACTCTTTATGCATATCTTTTTAAACTTGTAAATTTATGCATATCTGTACGACACAGACTTAACTAAAACGGATATTTATCAACCATTAACTCGGTTCCTTAAAAAAAAATAGAAGAGGGATCAGATACCACGAAGGGAAAGCATCCTCCTTCGACCGATCACACCAACCGTTTACTCACTGACATGGATGAGTAACGGAAAATGAGTGTAATGCCTATGTTTACATATAGATACTAATGAAATTGTCAGACAGAAATTGACCTAATGTTGGCATATATTTGCTTATTAGTAAAGTTGTTGTAACAGCCATAAGCTTTGTAAAATGATGATTTTCACAATACTTTTAAAGTCTACGTTTCATCAACATTTTGGTTCATTACTTACATTCTTTTAAAAATCAATTGTCCTATTTAGTGCTCAAATGTTTTAAATCAACTGAGAAAAAAACTGGTCGTAAAATAAAAACTTTTAAAATGAAAACCTTCCTTGAAACTTAAGAAAGGTTGAGAAAACACGTTAACTTGGTGTAGGATAATCCAAAATGCTTTTGCCAGTGATTATGCATTTTTTAATGTGAATTCACACCAACGATTTAATGTTTTCATTTTAGTAATTATCATTCGGGCTCTGAGATGAAGAAACTTTTTTTTTGTCAAGTTAAACACAATATATACAGGTTTTAATTTCTAGTTAGATGCTTATGATTTCAGGACCATGTGTGGAAGTGGGAAAATGGTAAATTCGTTAACATTAGAAAAAAACTCTAAAATCCACATATACCGGTCACGGTAGCCTAGTAGTAGAGCGTTCGCTTCGTGATCGGGAGGCCCGGATTCGATTTTCGTTCGTGGCGCCGCGTCATACCTAAGACGTAAACTAAAGTAGTGACTGTTCTTTCGTCTTGCGCTCGACAATAGAAGTGAAAGTCACGGGTCTTTCGGATAAGACCTTAAAAACGTAGGTCCCGTATCACGGTAGGTGCTGGCACGATAAAGAACCCTCACTGCTCAATGGCCCTAAGTGCTGAGTAAAGGTTCTAAATTTGAAGCCCTTCACCAGCATACTGTGACGTCTCAAGATGAGTGAAAAATTCTCAAGAGGGACGTTATACAATATAAAATCAATCAATCAATCAATCAATCAAATCCACAAATATTAACTTTAGGAAGAAAAAATCGTTAGATATAAACTGAGATGCAAGGTAAGTAAAGAATCATTTTAGTGCATTTAACCTCATTAATTATGCTGTTTATTCTTTGTTTTGCGCCATTGAAGGTTCATGGAATTTGCTCTGTAAATTTGTAATTAGGAATTTAAGGGAAATGTACTTTTACATTAGGTTGTTGAATTTATGTGCCATTTTGTGGACTAATTTCGCATGAAAATAGAGCAAGAAGCTTCATGTTTATGCTCCTAAAATGAGTAAATAGTTTTAAAAAAATATCTTTTTTAGTTTAAAAATTGATATTTTATTTTATTAATGGTCTGCAAAGATTTTTATTGTAAGTACTGGGCATAAGGATATAAATGTCACCCGACTTTGAAAACAGTTTACTTCCACCAGGGATCAAGTAAATTGAAACTACAATAACATTTTATGTCAAATCCTCTCAAGCGGAATGAAAAATCAGGTTAAGCTGCTTCTTTGCCTTTTCAAAGTATTATTGATATGATATTATGTCTCAACTTATGGTAAGTGAGGAATAATAGATTTGTAGATTCTCTCTTTCCATTTTTCCACTCTATTACATAGGCAAAATAACCTTTCTATTAATTCGTGACTTACACGCAATTGGTACTAAGGACCTTGTAAAGAAAAACTAAATTGAAACAAAAAGTAAAAAAAAAAAAAACAATACAAACTATGGAATAAAATTAAACTCTATTTCAAAACTTGTAAAATTATGTTAAAGACCATGAAACTTGATAAAACGAGTACATGGAGAGAATTTTGATAAAACGGGATTGTGGGGAAAAAAATCAATCAATCATTCTTTATATACAAAAATTGCAAAACATTGATTATGAAAAATAAGCATAGGAGAAAAATAATCTCCCATGAACTTGTAGAGTATGATTTTTATTCAAATTGTGGTGTGTTTTTATCCCCTCGCCAAGGCACTGATATTAAAAAGCTTAAGCGTATTCATCTTATTTCGAAGAAGATGATTTTTAAATTTAAAGACGGCAAAAATATATACATGTACAACAATTTTTGTACTTCACCTCTAAAAGAAAAAGGAATAATTTGCACTAAATTCTTTAGGAAGCCTTTAAGCAGAGACATTTGCTGGCTGTACTCTCCCTTTTTTTCTTTCATTTAAAATCTGGGGTCACTCACCTTTTCCTATTATGGTATTCTAAGATATCGATACTGTAACCGTAAAATACACGCGTTTACGTGTAAAATGTCAAAAAGACAAAATACGAGCAAATTATTGATGACAATTTTGTCAAGAAATCTTGCTATACCATTTAATGAATCTGGAGTATACATACTGTTTTTCAATAATTACAATGCAATCTTGGAACAACGGTTTACTAAACAATTTTTGTGCACAAATTATCTCTTAAGCTACAGGCAATAATCTAGCTTCATTTCAATATGTTGCAAATATTAAATATGACGAGGGCAAACAGTAATTTAGCTTTTATGCATTTAAGCTCAGAAGTTCATCGAACCTATAAAAATGGAAAAGAACAAACACATACCTCCATTACACCAGATGCGGAATCAGGTGCCGTAAAGGAGAGAGCATCCCTATCTGTCCAGTTACACCACAGTGTACCAATTTCATTGCTGTGAAAATCCAAAGAAATCCGTAGTCAGTTCAGCGTGTTAATAATGATATAATAATTTTTTAAATGCATTAAGCAGGCCAACTTTTATTCACTAAATTTCACAACAGTTTGTTTAGATGATAATATAAACAATCGATCTCCTTACTTGAATAGAAAAATAGATAAGAATTGACTTTTTTGAAAGTTGAAATATATATTTGAGTATAATAGTTCTATTTAAAGAAATATGTTTATTTTCCGAAACATTGTGAACTAAATAAAAAAAAATCAGCGGGAGTCATATATGAATTATTACCAAACATATACAAAAAAATCTTTAGAAAATATTAACAAATTATAAAAAAAAAAGACATTTAATCTTTTGGTTTCAGATTTTATCAGCTCTTAAACATATTTTGTATTGAATGAGTACATGTACATGTGTATACTTTTTCGTTCTAACAATTATGAAATTATTTTCTCCTCCCGAATGAAAACATATTCATCACTGCCAAATAAACAGAGAAACAAATACATTTTATAGAACTAAAAAAAAACAAATAAATTACATGGATAACATTGTGAAAATCTCTAAACACCACTACCAACAAAATAGAACTCCTATGCTATCGTTATCGAAGGAGTTAAGATTTATGTATTATCCAAACATTAACCTTTCATTTCTTTTACATAGAAGTGATATACCGGAAGTTCGTGTTTCATTTTTCATTATTTTATAAAGTTACATGATAAGAATATGTCTAAGCAATCTAAGTTTTAGACTTGTTTTCGAAATCATAATAAAAAAAAAGATTTTTGTAGTATTACATTTGGTCCAAAAAATTTTACAAACATTTTGAAAAATATTTCAAAGAGACATCCTTTGAATTTTTTTTACCAAAATGAATGCATAAAGCAGCACATGAATATATTACTCTATTTACAGACAACCTTGCTTTAGGTAAAATTGCTTCATATGAGTATCCGTTTTTCAGGATGATGAGTTTTCATGGGGAGCGGATAAGACTCTGGACGGATTGTTTACAAACCGGTCGGCTGGTGGAGGGCAATGCACAATATCTGACAGTAAAAAACTTAACGTCACCTGGTGAGTGGATCTAGGAGGCGTGCTCAGGATACATCATATAACTATCTATTACAGAACGGATAATATTGAATGGGGTGTGGACGATGTTTTTTAAATAATTCAGAAAAAAAGTTAATACAGTGAAAACCAACATTAATACAAGAAAGTACCTCAACTATCTGCTATTCGTACCGACTGAAACTTCGGAAAAAAATGGCTAGAAAATACAGTCTTTACATTGTTTTTGTTTTTTTCTAAAAAATAAACAGAAAATAAATGTTAAAAACACTTTCTTCGATATTTCAACTTTATATTTATTGACATATATACATTGAAAGGCTTTTAATTTAGATAATTATTTAGATAATTATTCAATTTTATGACTGGGAAATGCCAGACAAGAAAATATTATAAGATATTAGGTAATTATTAGGTTATATTATATAACTTTGTGAAATCCGGTAATCTGATTGGTCAATACGAAGTAATTATTTTTTAATAACGACCGCTGAACGTGAATAATGACTCGCACGAGCTGCCTCGTTTTCACTTTCGCTTTAGACAAACATAGAAGTTTGCAAGTTGTAGGTGAGGAAAATTTTAAAAGATATAGTGAAGAATTTGAGGCTGAGAATACAAAACAATTACAAGGATATCTGTGAACATTTTTCGGGAATACTTAGCACATATCATTTCATTGTTGAATTCGTTTTTTCCACTCGGCGAGCAGTTTTGACGCTATTTATACGCGTTAAAGGAAACGAAGAAAATAAAGACGAGTATGTCATGTATTATTGCATCTTATCATAGAAGGCATAGGTATTTATAGTTTGTCTGTGTATATAATTTCTTCTGCAAGTGTAAACGAGTGCGATTCTAAGTCGGGGAGGGGGGGACTCTGTGTTACTCGGAGATAGATATTTTGCATTATGATTATGTTATGGGTTAAAATTTATTACCAAAAGAAAACAAGTTTCTCTGAGTAACATTCCAAAAATTCTTAAATATTTAAATTCAACTTATTTATGGTTTATACTATCTCTGTGAGCATTAGGAGATAAACATTGTATTGAAAAAATTGGGAAAAAATTATTTTTATAATATAATAAATATGGCCTCAATGCACGGTCAATATTCATTTATAATGACCCAGGGTGACAGATATTGACCTCAGATACATGGAGTATATCCACCTCGGGCTAGCGCCCACGGTCGATATACTCCATGTATCTTCGGTCAATATCTGTCACCCTGGGTCATTATAAATGCATATTGACCTTCATTGAGTCCATATTTGTATAATATTTTCTAAAGAGGTAAAAAGGCATTGTTATTGACCTCAATTGCTTTCATTCCTTTTCGTGCTAACCAATTTCCCGTGCAGCATGACATTTTGATTATTTAGCTTTTAATGATATAATTGTTCCCTTTTTGCTAATGCAGAATAATTCAATTGCTGATTACATAATTTAATGGCACTATGAAATTATTTATCAGTTGAATAAAATGAGGTTTAGGTAGATTTTCTCACTTAAACCGATTTTTTTTTTTTAATTTTCTTAGAAGTACTCTTGACCAAGTTTTAAGCGAAAATAAAGTAGTTTTTGAACGTTCATCTCTTCCTTTATAATTTCAAATAAAGCCACTTATAACGATCGTATGTATTATACTCCTCCATGGCACCTGATCCCTCTGATGTTTCGGAGGTCCGTGTTTGCTCTGCTCTTATTTTGTATATTTGTTTAATGGACGTTGAGATTGAATACTGTTTGTTATTTCCATATCCTTCTTTTAACCACCGAACATGTATCTCTGCTGGTGGACAATTTGTCCCCGAGGATACTTGTCGTTCGGTACTTATTCATGCATGAGTACACATAATAACGAAATGATACTGGCAGGCGCGCCGCCCAGTATAAAAAGGCGTCACTCATTTGAGTCTATAAGGGACACAGACTTAAGGAGTTCATTTGGTGCCCCTCGGATTATCCTCAGGGATATTAAACATATGTCATATGTACAGTCTTCAGATTCCCAGTTTTGGTATAAAACCAATACATCATATCCCAAATTGAAAGAGTGTAAAGTTTCTATTACAAATATATTGGATGATTCCTTTTCCGACCCAATGTCTTCGGTTTCAAAATGTTCTGTGCGAAACTGTAAAACCTGTGACATTTTGATAACTGACACTTCTTTCACCAGTAATCTTACTGGACAAAGCTTCTATACCAAAACTTGGGAAAATCTGAACTGCAAATCTTCTTATGTTGTCTGTGGAATAGAATGTAATCTGTGTGGACTTATTTATGTCGGTGAAACCAAGGGATCGCTTAACAAAAGAATATCAGGTCATCGATTTCAAATAAATCATGGTGGTCAGCAGCTTTTATATAAACATTTTAATTCGCCTGATCATTCTATTTTATCAATGAAAGTTAGAATTCTGGAAAAGATTTATCACCACACAAATAGTCCGTCGTTGAGTACACCTTTCCGTAGACAACGTGAAGATTTTTGGATTAGGAAACTAGGGACAGCCTCTCCTTATGGATGTAATGACAATGTCGATAGTGTTGGAAATCTTACAAGCCCGTAGTGTAATAATGTAAATGTGATGGGACTTTTTAACAATACTCAGAGACGTAAGCGTAGTCATGGACATCGTTCATACAATAAACCTGCAATACACGACGTCTCTCTTGATTCATTACTACCTTATGTAAATCAACAGTTAGGTCTACATCATATTCGAACCAAACTTTACTCTGTCCCTTTGAAACTTTTAAATAGTCTTCTTGAAAAGACCAAGGAACATCCAAATTTAGATTCCTCGACACCTGAATATAGGCTCGGTTCTGTGATTATGGATATTGCACATCATAGGCTTTTTAAACCCGCACGTTTCACGGAAGAAAATGCAGCTAAAACAATCCGTCTTTTCCTTAAACTTCAATATGCCAATAAAGGAATTGACGCGGTTAATATAAGTAATATTCTTAATCACAAAAGGGTCCAGTCTTGTATTCCACCATATTTCAAGTTAAAGACTACGCCTTGTATTTCCTACAAATATACATCGACCATTGCTTCCAAACTTTTCAATTACAAAAACACTTTACATGGCCTGGATATCGACTATCTGAAAAATAATCCCCTTTCGTGTTCATGTTCTTCTTCGCCCTATAACTATAGTCCTGCTGGACACGTTATTACAGGTGACGTAAAAATAGCTCGTAATGAGGACTTTAGATCACTTATTTTAAAAGGTCCTAAATATAGGGAACCCCGATCCTTCAACTGGCGTCGAAATTTCATAAATATTATGGATTCTGTTGAAAATTACGCCAGACGATGGGCTAGATATGAAAAAGAAGACATTGACACCTTGTCAGAATGGATTAAATGTATAAGATCCATGTTAAAGTTACGTATTAAAAGATTAAGGGGCAAAATGAAAACCATCTATCCTTCTGTGTTCAATAAACCAGAAGTGAAAAAAAGAATTAGATAGATTACACGATCAGTACGTACTGGTTCCTGCCGACAAAGCAGGTAACAACATTGTCTTCGTTTGTAAGGCTCATTATATAAATTGCATTCTAGAAGAACTTGGATTTAATTCTACAAGTGGTAATCCTACTTATACATATACTTCTCTTTCTAAAGAAGAAATTCTTCAAAATCACCTGTCAGTTTTGAATACTTTTAATATACCACAGAGCCAAAATGAATTTGAACTACCTTATATATATTGGATTCCGAAACTTCATAGGAATCCTTACAAACAAAGATACATTGCAGGTACCAGTTTTTCTTTCGTGGATTAACACGCATTTATTAATTTACAGTACTTTTTTAAAAAAGAAAATGCTTTTCTTTAGCTTGATTTTACCGTCTTTTTTACTGTCATTTTCAACTGAGGAAATTCACACAGGGGTTGGAGCAGCTATAGTTTAAGCTTATTTTTTTTATATAAATTACTTTGTGGTTTATAAAGCGTAAACTGTCCAAATCCAGGTAATACAGTATAAATCCTGTTGCTATTTACACGGTGTATAGGCATAACGGACCCTTTTCGTTGAAACGGATATTTTCCGATAGAAGCAACGGACAATTTCCGATGAAACTACCCTCGAACCAACACATGTTCAAGAATTCATGTGTTTTGAAACTTAAATCTTTGACAAACCAGTAAATTATACATTCCACGGAATGTGGCTGACGTTGATCTTGGTCGTGAAAGTCATTTTTAATTTCATTTTACGGAGATAGCCTCTAAATAACATTTTTTTCTGTCGCACATCAGTGGTTCATCAATATTGAAAAGTCATTTGGACAGAATTTTGTGAATAAATTGGCAGTGTTACAAGTAGCATATGGGCATATTATTTAGAGTTAAAGATTTCAATATTTGTGCGTTTTGATGTTTTTATCTACACTCTGTTTTAAATTTTAAAAAAGTACTTTTTTACGAAGTTTTAAAGAAACGGACACTTTATGATTTGGAAAAGGGCACTTTCAGCTCATTGCTTATTAAACGTAAGTTTCTATGTTTTATCGTCCTGATCGAATCCCAAATCTCTGGACAGTTACTCCATATGAAAGTACATTGATAAATTTTTATTTTAACAACAGGTCTACTGACAAATTGGATATAAAAAGTAATATTATACCCCCGATATAACTCAAACACTATCAGAATCGATGATATCTGTTCAAGATAAATTTGTAGATAAATAATTAATACTCGTTAGATTTCACAGACTATATTCTTGATTATTTGTATTAAGATATGTAAATTGAATCATTTAATGCGAATTTCATTTTTCTTTCTATAAAATTAAAATGTATAATCATGTATATATACAAATGATGTTACTTTATATATACATGTATGTTTCCACTCATATAATTATCAATTACTGTGGCCAGCTTTAGAAATTGTTTGCTCTCCCAGATCTTCGCTAGCCAAGGGTTTCTCTCCTCATAAGGGAGTAGCGTATCAGAAACCTTTGGCTGGCGAAGATGCCTCTCCCGGTCAACTGACTAAATTTAATTCAACTCAGGCCCTTTTTATCTTCCAGAAAATCGAAGTATAGCTTTTTATGTAATCTGGTAAATAGATTTAAGAAATTAGGCATTGAAATCGAAAATTTCTAAGAATGCTTTTCTCACCTATACCTATCCACCTTTTTTTTATTTTGAGTCGGAAGAAGGTAAGAAAACATTATTTTGAAGGTGGCAAGAAATGTTCATTTTCAAGATATACAATTTGAAATAACACTATTAAAAGATAGCTCTATTAGGAAATAAATTAATATTTAGCGATACACCTTTGTCTCGCATTTCATGACATTTTAAGGATAAAAGACGGTATCAAATATTAAATTCACACTCGACCCCCCCCCCCCAAAAAAAAAAAATAATAAACAACTAAATTTACATTTTTTAGTATGAAATGTTGTATGTTGATCCAAAGTACACTTGGCATAGTACATATACAGTGTAGCGTGGGGTGGAGTGTGTTTTTTTTTGTTTTTTTTTTACTTTTTACGTTAATATATTCAAAATTTATCCTACACCCCCCCCCCTTAATTTTTTCAAAGATGCAAGTTTTTGAAGTTTTGGTTTTTTTCCTTTGGTTTTTATTTTTACTTTATTATCATTCTTTGCATGTATATCCTCTTCTTTATATTAGTTATCTTACATAATGATTATTAATCTATTTTTTTATACCCCCCCTAAAAACAATGACACATACCCTAGCTGGATATGAAGTAGGTTTTTTTTAATATGACTGTACATAAAATAAAATCTGATGTTGGCAAAATATTTTTCATCAATGTGTTCTTCATAAACAGGATCTTATCAACGATTTTCTGAGTTGAGAATTTTCGGTACCTTTTTTTTCTTTCACGTTTTCAAATTTGCACGTGAATAACCCAGAGCAGCAAACATGAGAGGGAGAAGCATCCATGAGGTGAAACTTTACATAATAAACAAATTTACAGTAAAAGACTATTCTCGGAAAAGTGGACACTATGTCCTTATAAAAAAAAATTACAGGTCAAAAGCGCATGTTTCACTTTCCTCAAAGTCAAACAAAACAATGCAAGAATAGAAAGTATAGTTTGGTTCCAGAACTTCCTTCTCTGGATATGTAATAGATTTTTGACAAGTCAAATAAAGTTGTAAATAAATAGTCTAATTAGTAATGTGTGCGATAATTTTTCAAATGATAGCTTTTAAAACTGAATAGCATCTGAGAAGGTCAGGTGCCGGAAAATGCGTGTGTCAGAAAGGGGCCGTTTCTTTAACAAATAATTCAAGACCCACTTTTATTAAAATTACTGCAATGCTTCATGTTTCATAAGCATTGCTGGGATTCTTATATTCACAAGAATACACCAATATTCAATTCATATTATAATATAAACGATTTAACGCAAAAATCTACATTTGAAGGGACCTTTGTCTGCGCGATGGCTTGTTTGATCAAATTAAAACGTTTCATGAGCTAAATTGGTAAGTGCATGGCAATAAACAATAGCTTACTAAGGTATATCAATATCGCTGATATTCCGTGGAAGCAAAATTACATTCACTAACCATTTCCTTTCTCTAAATGAACTAATTTTTGTCGAAGACAAATTTGGCAGAAAGTATCCGTTAATTCTGCTGAAAGGGTCCGTTTCAGCGGAAAGGGTCCGTTATGCCTATACACCGTGATTTAATCCGTTGCCTCGATGTTTGATAACAATTAAGTATTTAATCTTGTAGAATGTGAATGGTTGTACAGTTTACACTGTAATCAGTCCTGTGGATGGTGCTTGAATTTTGGTCAATGCCATCATATTGACGGGACGTGCTTAAAGGGATGTGAAATAGGATTTAAAGTGGATAAATGTACCGAAGGTATGTGTAATTTTGATGTCAGTCATGGCTTATGCCAAACATCCTATTTATTGTTATCATGTGAAATGATCGCATGGATCGAGTATCTTTGATTAAATAATAGATTGATAGCTGTAAACAATATGAGATATTGATTCAATAATTTCAATTGTTTATGGAAGAAATGTTGGGGTGAGATTTTGATGGTTTAATAAGTAAAAATTATTTTGTGAATCTATGTTATGTATTTTTTCAACTCTTTTTTACTTCTAGAATGTCCTGTCAAACGGTATGGTTACAATTGCCAGGATACATGTAGCATCAACTGTAGGGTCCCTGGTAGATGTAACAGAGCGACAGGAGAATGTCATGGTGGATGTCAGTCAGGATGGAAAGGAATTAGATGTGACAAAAGTAAATAAATGAACTTTGTTATTTACACCTTTAACAAATTTAGACTCAAATAATTAAATACCATTAAATCGCACTTTATCTAAAAAAAATAGAAAAAAGAACTTACTTTTCTTAACTATTAACTGAATATTGCAATGCATGTCAGCCAGGTGTAATTACAATCTAAGACAATGAGGCCATCATCTGCACAAGAAAAACATTTTGAAATGCAGCATTGTTATAGTCTGGTAAATAAAAAGTTCCGACAGGTTTCAGAAATATATTCCTTACATGATGCTATATAAATTTAGCTTGGTCAAGTAAGTTTCTTCGAGACATAATTTTTAGATAAACAAGATATAAAATCATTCTTAAAACTGTCATTTTTAAGGAATCATTAAAAAAGCAAGTCATAAAAATTAAACTCTTTTCAAGGTAAGACAAAGGAAATGTATCCAGATTTATAACAGTCTCTCACAAAATGGTTCTTTTTGTGTTTTTATTGATTTTATATTGTTTAACGTCCCTCTCAAGAATTTTTCATTCATATGAAGATGTCACCGTATGGCAGTGAAGGGCTTCAAATTTAAACCTATACTCGGCACTCAGGGCCATTGAGCAGTGAGGGTTCTTTTTCATGCCAGCGCCTACAGTGACACGGGACCTATGTTTTTAAAGTCATATCCGAAAGACCCGTGACTTTCACTTCTAGTGCCGAGCGCTTGGCGAAGGAACAGTCACTACCTTTGTTTACGTCTTAGGTATGACGCGGCACCGCGAACGAGAATCGAACCCGGGCCTCCCGATCACGAAGCTAACGCTCTACCACTAGGCTACTGTGACCGGTTTGTGTGTTTTGGGATTCCTCTTTAAAATGATATCATAGGTATCTAATTACTTTTCATATTTCCAAATTGAATTCAACAAAAATACCGTGTACTCTACATATTTCTCTCACAGCTGTAAAGTACAGGAAAAAGAAAATTGAAATTGATGATGACGTCATAATCGATCTAGCACCAATACAATACTGTAAACCTATTATTATCTTATTGCGATAATTTTTTTTGCGCGGTTCACAAGAGCCTTGTCATCGGGAATATTTCTTAAAGTCTCTTTTCCTATTAAAAACAGTTCCAAAACGGCTAGATCTCGAAAATTAATTGTTGCGAACTAGTTTATTCCCGGTAAATCGCGAAATAAAGTCGTCGGGAATAAAAGTTCTCTTACAATAGTCTGACGATGTTCACTGGATTTCGATCTTAATGACTTGGGTCTACTGAAATTTTGGACTTCTAAACTTTGATAACTTATATTCAGTGAACCAATGATTTATGAAGGATAATTCTTGGTAGTATCGATTAATCCAAGTCGGAAAATGAAAATTCTAAGAAAAAATCTTTAAGCATTAGGATATAAATATCCAATAAAAAGAAAACGTTTTTCATTGAAACTTTGGGAAATTCCTCTTTAGAGGCCTGGATCTGCTAAAGAATCTATTCATAAGTGTTCCAAAATAAGGCACATGTATAAATATTTTTTTTTTAAATTTTCCCATGGATGTTAATTCATAGCTATTACGTTGTTTACATTTTGGTTGAAACCTTGTCATTTCATTGTGATTTGCAAGAGATTACATGACAAAGACGTTGTTATTTTATAACTAAAATCCAATCCTATACCTTAAGATGTCCCCTTTATGATAAAAAAGGCGACACTTTTCTTTCTAATTTAGGGTGTGTTTTGGAAATGTCTGGATACAACTGCAATAAAACATGCAATACAGACTGTTTTAATGGAACATGTGATATCACGGCAGACGCATGTTTATTGGTGAGTAGAATAAAATCAAGTTGAACTGATTTAAAGCTGAACACTTCTCATAAATAGGCACTGTCAGACGGGTATATAAACCGTTCGCTTTCGTTACACCCGATTGCACACTCAAAACTCATGGCTGACATGTAGTACTCCTATCGTGGTCTTAGATTTTTTGCGTTTACTTCTTGTTTTCATGTGCATTTTCTGTTTGTAAATAATGTATTGACCTGTATTTTCCATGACACTTTTGTCCTGTTTTGGAAAATACGTAAAAATTGATAATTTCATCGATATTGAGAAACACGCTTTGTTAGATGTACGTCTGCACTCGTCGGATCTCTATAGTAAAATACATTGACTAGCGATCTGCTCCTTATATAGGAGTTGTAGGGAGAGCGTTGAAGAACGGGAAATATGACGGACTATGCCTATTTACGAGTAGTGTTCAGCTTTAAGCCCGGATGATTAGATGTATCTTCGCGTTGTTTCACTAACACGTATCGTCTTTTCAGATGATATATAAGTATATTCTTGTACTACATGTACAAGGGTTGTCCCGCGGATATTGGTTGCATATGTATGTAAAAATAATGCACGCAATGAACCGACTACAAAATAATACAAGTATATATTATTTTTCACGCAAGAAAATTTGTCCACAATTTTACGAGACAACCCTTGTTTTGCATTCCATTTGTATAATATTCAATATAAAATATTGCTTTTTTATAATTTTTGAAGTTTTGTTTTTACTGAAAAGCAATGAATTATCTAGGGGGGTGGTGGGGTATAACATTGTTTTTCTTCATTCTAAATAGTTTTAAAATGTATTCTTCTTTTCCAACCGCCGACAAGCATTGGTTCTGTGGCAAATCTTTACAATAATTATCATGATACTAATTTGGTTAATTTGTAAAGAAGACAACTAAGTTTATGAATCAGTTGTGTTTTCTTTCGAATGACTAAACTGGTTTTCATACCTTGTGCAGGTGGGTGCCCCAGATCCACATGGAATCAATATTGCATATATTATTGGTGGAGCCTCGGCAGCCATCTTTGTTACCGTGACTGTTGTTATATTTGTTATAGTAAGCAAAAGGTAAAAATATTAAGAGGGAATATTGATGAATGATAATATCTTTTTGGATGTGTTAAGATCACTTCATTATTGTTTGTTTACATGGTATAAGTCTTGATTACTACATTAAGAAAAGGCTACTATCTAAAAGTCATAAAATATTGTAGAAAGGAAATAATTGCCGATCTTTTTTTATCACTTAATTTATAGAAATAAGAGTAGGGAATTTAACAAAACGAAAAAGAAACAATTTAAATCCTATAAACTTGTTTCCAGATTATTTTTTTTATTCGTTTATAGAAGTAGAGTAAGGAAAGGACATAATGGTCATCAAAATATATCTACACAAGTTTTCATAGACAATGTAACAGCAACCATAGAAATCTATAACAAGATTGAGGACAATGGTGGATATTATGAGCTGGGTGAACTTGAATCGGAGACAGTGATCTGCAACAAATGTGAAAAAAAAGGCAGAATACCAGGAAATTGGTGGAATAAGTCATCATTTTCATATTGCTCGGAAACATTAAAGTGATGTTGAAGGATCTAACTTTACTTCATTTTATTCATTGAAAATTCATTGATTGATTGATTGTATACTGTTTAACGTCCCTCTCTGATATCGAGACTTCACCATTGCCAGTGAAGGGCTGGGAATTTAGGCCTATGCTCGGCACTTACGGCCTTTGAGCACGGAGGGATCTTTATCGTGTTACACCTGCTGTGACACAAGGCCTCGGTTTATACGGTCTCATCCGAAGGAACGTCCCATTTAGTCGCCTTTTACGACAAGCAAGGGGGTACTGAGGACTTATTCTAACCCGGATCCCCATGGGACGAAAATTCATTGAAATCTTTATTTTAGTACAATCATATATTTCCTTTTACCACATCTAAGTCAAAGTTTGAGATACATGTATAAATGCACTATAGGAATATTATTTTCATTCTGAACACTTCATTTTTTTAATTTGATGATTGGATATAAAAATTAATAGTGTTTAACTTATTGGAGTTAAATCGGATTAGCAAAATTAAATATCATGAGTTATCCTTCATTAACTTATTGTTCTTTCCCGGGGAATAACAACACTTGGATAAAGTTATTAGTGTAAGTTATAACACCATTGCCTACCTGCTATATATTTTCAGTAGTCAACACCTAAATATTCAAACAAGAAACAATGAAATTTAAAGTTTTTTTTGATGAAATTTAATGTCATTGAATAAAAAAAAGCCGACATCAATGTGTA